TTTTATTTTTTAATTTTTTTTTTTTTGCAAACTGTTTTCTACACAATTTCTTTAGTTCTTATTCATATCAAATTCTTCAATAAAATTTAAATACTATTAACATTGTTAATAATTTCTATTTTCTATTGGTCGAATTTCGACCACTGGCGATCCATAAAATTTTAGTACTATTGACATTGTTAATTAATGGTATTTTCTATTGGTCAAATTTAAAGGCAGCCTTATTAGAAGAATGAAAAAGTATTGGATACAAAACAATGTACATTCTATGCCAAAATGCCAGAGTGCTGTTATTAAAAAAAATTGTATGCCTAAAAAATACTAACTGATCGATTTTTCCAATATGATTATCATATCATATTTTAATGTGCTTTGACCATTCATTGAATTAAAGTTATTTGTTTTTAAACGTATACATGTTTAATTATAAGAAAAATATGAAATAATATAATTTTTATTTCGTTGAAAGCGATTTCTAATATCATAACCGACTTTGTCTACTGTCAACAAAGACAGAATTAATTCTAATTATAATAGTAGTAATAATTATTATTAAGAAAATGATACTTTTAGCTACATATACAGACGAGTTCGAAATAATAAGAACAACCAAAGCGAACATAAAATTTTTGCACAAGTATTTTACAAAAACTTTTTTTCGACAAACAGTTGTGTAAGGTTATAGTTTTAAAAAAATACGAAACTTGGTTATCATATCCACATAAAATTTTTTATGGCGTATTTTGTTGCTGTGAGTCTGAAAGAGCTTGTTCGAAAAAATAATAACAAAATCAAAAAGGCGGCTACATAAATGTAATAATGCTGGAGCTAACACCGTTACATATAGTGATCGAGCAGACGGCCAAACAGACCTTGCTTCAATCGGCAGCAGAAGGGTTTGGCAAAGGGAAGGTAATCTCGTCCCAGCAGATGAAGGCCCTAAGTGACGCAATGCCACTGGCCCTTCTTCCAAGGGACAGCATTACCAAAACAGTAAGCTTCACTAGGAAGTTCAGGGTTGCCCTTGGCAGTAAGGCAGAATGGAACGATTCCACGCTGGACCTACTGCTAAGGCACAGCACTATCAAGTGGTACACCGACGGCTCGAAAACGCTGGAGGGGATTGGCGCAGGGGCCGCAGGACCACGCACCAAGCTCTCCAATGCCATGGGAAGTTTTCCTAGCATATTCCAGGCGGAAGTATATGCTATAAGACGGTGTGTAGAGATAAACCTCCAACGCGACTATCGCACTAAGAGCATCGCCATACTCAGCGATAGTCAGGCAGCAATTAAAGCGATATCGGCTTTTGAGGTCAAATCGTTACTAGTGCAGGAGTGTATAGAACGGCTGAACAGCCTATAAGTCTCAATAGAGTGCACCTCATCTGGGTGCCTGCTCACAGGGGTATAGCAGGAAATAAACTTGCTGACGAGTTGGCCCGCTCTGCAGCCTCTACAAACATGGTAGAACCGTGCGTAGCGGTTGGTCTACATACCATTAAAGAGCTGCTCCGTAAAGAGGAAAGAGCAGACAGGCAGAGAGGTCACAGGGGTATAGCCGGAAATGAACTGGCTGAAGAGCTAGTCCGCTCTACAGCCTCCACAAGAATGGTGCACAGCAGTATATTGGAGTTCATCAAATATGCTGGGGCTAGATGAGTCGCTGTGACTTAGGGGAGGGCACAATAGACCATAGGTCGCGGTGCATACCTCAATCATTATCTATTCTATTCTACATAAATGTTCATAACATTTTAATATGTATTTTTTCCTGAGTGCGAATTTAAGCAAGTGGGGCGTTTAAATTATTGTAAATCCTTTAAAACCGAGAGGAACTCGACATTGTTCTACTGGGCAAAGCGAAATTATTAAAAAATTGATTTTTAAAGGAAATTGTTTGCGTACATAAGGTAGAAACTGGGAGTTATTTACAGAATGATGTTAAACTGTAAAAATTGGTCGCCGGAAGCTGAAAAAAGCGGCAGCCACAAACAAACTTCTAATAAACAGCATGAGCTTATCACAAAAATCGTTAAAGGTGCTCGTTTATGACTTCCAGGTAGGTAAAAAAAATTTATTTCAAACCATATAAAAAGAAAAAGGTTGATCGCTGCTTACCTGAAAGCACATAGTCCAAGAAAAGTACATTTACTAAAAAGTGCGAACTTTAAACGGCTACTTGAACAATTTTTTCGAATGTTTGTAGGGGAACCTCTGTCAGTTAGGCACAAGATTCTATGCAACGATGAGACAAAGATTGTTCAGTTCGAATGATTTAAAGAAAAAAATATGTCAGACGATCCCCTAATCAGCAAGTTAATGCAAAATATACAACGAAGACTATAAAAAATGGATGCCTCAAGCTGATGCTATGGGAATGTTTTTCTTGAACTGGTGTTGGTCCTCTAGCAAGGATCACAGAAACCAGAGACATCATTTATTATGTTAATAATAATCTGGAAGACCCAAAGCATATCTCGAAAGGAGCTAAGGATAGGTTTCGTAACAAAAATATTAATATAAAGGATTGGCAGGCGTTATCCCCCTGACCTTCATCCAATCGAATACCCTTGTATAGATAATAAAAGCGATGCAAGGGACGCCAAACCAAAAAATTTACAAAAATTATAGAAAAGTGGCAAAAAAAAAGGTCTTGGGGAAATATACTCCTCTTAGATACCGCACTCATGTAAATTCTACACACCAGATGTACCAAAATAGCTAAAAATCGTGTAGGCGAAACATAATATTAAATGCAGTCGCACCCAAAGCAACAAAAAAAATGCGGTAAAAAAAATTTTACATGCATATGATAACCAAGTTTTGCATTTTTCAAAAACTCTAACCTTACACAACTGTTTGTCGAAAAAATTTTTTTTGTAAAATACTTGTGCAAAAATTGTATGTTCGCTTTGGTTGTTCTTATTATTTCGAACTCGTCTGTATATGTAGTTAAAAGTATCATTTTCTTAATAATAATTATTACTACTAATATAATTAGAATAAATTCTGTATAAATGATAAATAAATAAAGAAAAAACAAAATATAAAATGTTTGTTTAAAATTCTAAAATATTTTAAATTAGGAATCAGAAAATGCAGCCGGGAGCTCGACGTGAAAGAACACTTGCAAAATGCGTTAAACATAGTGAAAGCTGAGTACAAATATCTCGAAGACTATAAGTTTGAGGCGACTATATGTGTATACATAACATCCTGAGGACTCTTATCCGTCCATACTATCAAGTATGCGCCAAAGAAATCGTAATCGTATCTGTACATACCCATTTTAACCCCGGATTCTTTTTTCAAATTGTGGGTTTTTTACCAAGATAATAATGCGGTTCGTTTGCACACAAAAAGAGTATATGGTAAGCCCATAAAGAGAAAGTTAACAAATTGGGGTTCGGCTATAGAACCCGTCCTAGGATTTCCGGTATACAATTGGTATCGGTGAAATATATAATTGTAAAAGTAATTTTTAATCAAAAAAATAAGTACTTTAAATAGTTGAAATTTTAAAATTCAGCGGCTATATCTTTGTATATTCTGGATCTGGAGATCTCCTCTATCCACCCATACCCATTATATTCTAGAAATCCCGGTATTCTAAAGTTTTCCCAGAAATTGTTTAATAATAATAATAACGGGTCGGATTTAGAATAACGTCCCACGCTTTCGGAGATCCTCCAGATCAAGAATATATATAGATATAGCCGCGGGAAACCTATGGTTTTCGAGATATTTGGGTTTAAAGTTCAAAATTTCGACTATTTAAAGTAGGTATTTTTTCGTTATAGAATGAATTATACACTTATATTTTTAACTTTTATATCCACTAACACTTCACTAATTCGTTTTTACACATTTTTTTTATATTATATCATAAAAAATAGCTTTATTTCAATATTTTAATTATTCTTAAATTTTTGTGATTTTCACAATAACAAGATGGTTGTAAATGTCAAATAACCAGTGTTGCCATACTAATTTATTTTGCAAACGAAGAAAAATAAAATAAAAAGAGAGATTATACCCTAAATACAGGAATCATAATTGTTGATGGACACTAATAAATTTTTTAGTTTCCTTCTTTTGATAAACCCAGGTGTTGGACCGACCAGGGTTATTTTTTTTGAAGCGCGGCCGAAGGCCGCCAACGCAACAGGAGTTCCACGCGAAAAGACCTTGGTACACCCTGGTGTTGGATCGACCAGGGTTATTTTTTTTGAAGCGCGGCCGAAGGCCGCCAACGCAAAAAGGAGTTCTACGCGAAAAAGTAATATTGTCATAGAGGGTATAACATAATCCTTAACATCAATGCTATCTAACGGATATTAATACTGTTACTTTTGAAGAAAAGTACCGTTTCGTTTTTTCCATTTGCCATTTACTTCATATTTGGCAAATAAAACTCAAACGCGTTTAGTGAGTTGTGCTTAAATTGTGGAAAAGGATAAATTATAAAAGTTATTATTCAAGTTTTTATTTTAAAAAGGAGTGGAATTTCAACAAATTTTAATTGGGGTATAATCTGTTTTCATTTCTTTCAGTTCACTTACAAAAGATGTCGATAAGGTAACACTGGTTATTTGACATTGAATAATTAAGAATAATTAAAATATTGAAATAAAGCTATTTTTTATGATATAATATAAAAAAAAATGTGTAAAAACCGAATTAGTGAAGTGTTAGTGGATATAAAAGTTAAAAATATAAGTGTATAATTCATTCTATAACGAAAAAATGCGTACTTTAAATAGTCGAAATTTTGCACTTTAAACCCAAATATCTCGAAAACCATAGGTTTCCCGAGGCTATATCTATATATATTCTTGATTTGGAGGATCTCCTCTATCCGCCCATACCCATTTTATCCTCGAAGCGTTTATACTAAAGTTTTCCCATAATAACTAACATAACATATGAAGCAAACATATAATTGAAATATCACGAGTTTAAGATGGTATACTAAAATGTATTAATTCTAAAACTTACCCAACGGCAAATCGCAAAGTAAACAACATGCTGAAAGTGCGCCAGCGGAAGCTCCTCCAATTTTCTCCAACAATAGATGTGGTGCGTATTTTTTAAAACATACTGCTACACCTACATGATAAATGCCTAAAAATCCGCATCCAGCAAATGATAAATTCATTTTTGGTTGATGGGAGTGTCTTACTGATGCTGATAATATTATCGACTTATTAGTATTCAATATACTTCAATTGTTGACTAGCAAAGTCTCTAGACGGGGAGAGGGAAGTTAGAATAAACCTTTTATTCACAATTAAATACCTAATTTCAATTATTTTAGTTTTATTTATTTGAAAACATAATTCACTGACTAAATTTACTACAACACTTTTAACTACTTCACAAATTGCTCGTTTCGTTTCTTGCGCTATTATTTGTTTCACAAGATTTCTCAACGTTTTTCAAATGCGTATATATTACGGAGTAATAATTCTGTTCTGTTATAAAATTTAGAATCAGTATTAAATAAATTATTCGTTCAAGTTCGCTGAATTATTTTTCTCGAATACGACTGATTTAATAGAGCTGCTAATATTTATATCATCATTTTTGCCAGAGATTTATATCATTCGTTTTGTTCTTTACCTGCTTATTCGCTGACATTTTTGCTTGCTGGCAACACCCCGTTTCACGGGCTATATCGACCGGCAATATATGATTTCTGAATATTTCCCTAGCAATATTTTCAATGGATACTGCACATTGCTAAGGCGAGGATGAAATGATGCGAGACTCTCTCATTTTCGCAGATTTTTATGTTATTCTCTTTCCCTGATTATTAAAATCAGGGAATTTTGAGCAGCTGATGTCAAAAACGGCGGGATGCCAGAAATAAACCCGCTAAAAATAGGTAACAAAAGCAGTGCGTTCAAGGAACGACACAAATACTTTTGAATAACGTGCAACTAAATTTTTGTTAATTTAATTTAAAACGTTCATTATAAAACCATGATATTTTATTATGACTTGTGTTGTTTCTTTGTTATAATTTTTTTAAATTATATGCTATTTTTTTATGTTATGTGATTTTTTAAAAATATTTCAATATAAATACAAATATATAGGAATGTATATGCGTTACATAGGCCTACTCGGGGACGGAGCACCTAAAAATAATATCGAAATGCATAGTGTGACGAACGCGGATGATAGAACAAAATCGAATCAACGATAAACTGCCAGAAGCAACTAGTTAGCGAATTCGTAGTTGCCAGAATGTTCTAGAAGCAATGTTTTGTTACAGATTTACTATATAAGGGCTGCCGGATTGTGCAGCAAACACAGTTCTAGTTAAAGTGTTGTCGTGATAAGAGCAATTAAGCTGTAAGTAAGAAGTTGTAAGCTCGAATAACGAGCAATAAGTGTTAAGTTGTTGGATTTAAAAATAAAGATAAGTGTGTAGTCATTAAATTGGGACTTTTATTTAACAATCCAGTGATCGAACTCAAGAGTGAGTTACAGGTAGACGATTTATCGAGAAATCCGTTACAATATAATACCCAATCCATTTTCTTTCGACAGTGGCATGATTGGCAAATGTTATAAAATATGTGGGTTTTGACAGCTCTCTCTCGATTCAAAGAGTCTCGCATCATTTCATCCTTGGCTAAGGTTTAGCAATAGATGTCTGTTAACACCACTACTAACGTGTCACAATCACCACGCAACCTTGCCACGAGAATAAAAGTATCCAGAAAACTGTTTTTTTTACAAGGTTTACAGATTTTTTTTAATAGTTATATAAAAGTTATTTTAACGGAATCACTCTCTAGTCGCATGACAGTGGAGACGTGGTAAATATATGTAAGAGGAAAAGTGGGATGCTCGCAAGTCGCACTAAAAAGGGGTCTGTCCGCTTCGAGGACAGATGTTTTGTTGTCGTTGGGCTGTGTAGAGTTATGGTGAATTGGTATTCTGCTGTGTGTATGCTGCTGCTTCCAGTAGTGTTGCATTGGTGTGTGGGCATACTGCTGTTTCCTGTTGTGGTGTGTGGGCCAGTGTTGTCTTGTGAGTGGTGTGTTGTGCGTTGTAGTTGAGTATATCAGGGCGGAAAACTTAACTCATTTAGCAGTCGCTGTAGTTGTTGCAACTTTGGTTTGCTGAGGTTTGTTTGTGGCGCGGATGCGTGGGGGAGGCTGCCAACTGACCTCTCGTCTCAGGGTGCGGTGAAGCAGCGTATGATGCTGTCTACCACACATTTGGCACAAGACCCCGGAGTCGCATTCCTGCGTCGTATGCCTGTGTGCCAGCGTGTATAGAGAAAAGGGCGAATTGTTAGACGGATGTTTCGATTTCTGCGTGTAGGTATTATTGTACAGATGGTTTATTACCTGACTTTTCGCTATTATCTGAGATTAATAGGAATAATAGTATAACGAGCGGTCTGGTTAGCGTTCCGTTTCGAGTACGGATGTCAACTACTCGTATATGACCGTCGGCTTCTCTATGCAACCAAGCCTTCCATCGCCGGCTGAAATCAGGATGGAAAATTTTAATTCTTTCCGATTTATTTTGTAAGGATAGAAACTCCACGCCTGGCTTAGGTATGGCCAGAATATGTGCTCCTTTGAGAAAGTGCCCTGGAGTAAGGGCTATGAAATCTGAAGGATCTTTCGAGAGTGTCGTTAGTGACTGTGAAATTAATAGTTTCCAGTTACTTTTTTAAAGTGGCTTTTGAAGCTTTTTACAGCTGATTCCCATAAACCACCCGTGGAGAGATAAACTGCCAGTTAGTACCTTGGTGAGCGTACTTTTGTACAATCTAAGGTGAGACTTGTTTGATAAAATTCACAATCGTCATCTGACGAAGCGAGCAAATGGCGCGAGAAAAATCTGCAATGTTGCGTGATAGGAGCGCAAGGATGTCAGAATTATTCGATGTTGTGTGGAAATAGTCTATTTTTCGACTTACTGGGAAAATTATTTTGCGCATGCACGATTGTGGCCAAGAATCAGAAAATACTGTAAACCATCGGAGGCTATTCCACTATAGGGTGGTGTTAGCAAGGTCCAGGGGTCAGGTATTTGAGACGTTCGATTGTGGTGGATTTTCTAACCAGGCCATCGGACCACGGATACAATTTGAATTTTGCCATGTTTAAATGCATTTGCACCATGTATACTAATTTGGAAAGTAGTAGCGCGCCACATAGTTCAAGTCGTGGTAGTCTTATTGTTTTTAGAGGAGCTACTTTTGCTTTTGCTACTAGTAAGTGGCTTGTGGTCGCAATGTCGCTTTGTGTGCGAACGTATATAGTTGCGCAATATGCCTTTTCAGAGGCGTCACAGAAGCCGTGTCGTTCGACTCTGTGCTCTGGGGTATAATTTACCCATCGTGGGATTTGTATCTGTGAGATATCATTTAGATTGCTCGCAAACTGAGGTCACTTTTTTTAACAAAGTGGTTTTACTTTTTCATCGCAGTCGGTTCCATCTAGCCATAATTCTTATATCATAATTGGCGAAAGCCATCCTGCGGGGTCGAAAAGTTTTGCCACGGAGGATAGAATTTGTCGCTTTGTTATGGCGGATAATGCAGATATTGACTCTGTAGTGTATGAAAATTGGTCAGATATCGCATTCCTTTAAATCCCCAGAGTTTTTGTTCTCCTTTCCTTTTCGAATTTAAGAAAATTAATATCTAACAAATTTTCATTTGGTATATTTTTTAAAATATTAGGATGGTTCGCCGTTATCTTTCTCAATGGAAACCCTGCGGTTTTGAGGGCTTGTACTACTTGTGATAGTGACTCGTATGCTTGTGGAAGACTGTGACTTCCACCTGAGTTGCCAAAGGAATTTCTGACTTGGTGTTTTCTACCAATTCGTGCAGTGTTCGAATGGCTAGATATAAAGCACAGTTGACGCCAAAGGTAACTTTTTTAGTTTATAATCGCTTGTGGACTATTGGGGAATTTTCGAAAAATAATTAGCTGAAAATTTTGATGGTATTTATGTATGACTATTTGTCTTAACATTTTTTCGACGTCTCCGATGAATGTGTATTTGAATATACGCCAATTTAAAATAAGTAACATTAAATCTGGTTGGAGCGTGGGTCCCGTAAATAGCATATCATTTAGGCATTGAAGACAACTCTTATTTTAGTTGTTTTTTTGTCTGGCTTAACTACTGCATGATGCGGCAAGTACAATGAGTAGTATGTGCCGTTGAGGCTTACTACCTCCATGTGCTCCAAATGGAGGTATTCTTCCAACACACCATCATATTCTGGTTTGAGCTCACCTTTTTTAAGTAGGTTTTTTTTCCGTACTTTGAAACTCCTGTATTGTAGAGGTGCGGAGTGGCCTTAGGCGATTGTGTTGGAAAATTGTTGTTTTAGTGGTAGTCGTACGACGTACCGACCATTATCTGGTCTAGTAGTTGTGCCTTTGTAAAAGTCTTCACAATACTGATCTTCTGGGGTTGTAATTGAAATGGGGGGGAGTTCTTCCCTAAATTTTATCAATTGTGATTTGAAGTATTTGTTTGTTATTCACTCAACTTAAATTGTCATGGTGGTAACTGATTCCGTAACTAGCCACTTAAGATGCAACCGAAAACAGTAATTTGTGCCAATAGTGTGTTTCAAATTTTCTCAATACCTTAGAGTATTATCTGTGGTATGAGATTGCTGTCTAATATAATGTCTATTTGAGCGGGGGTGTTGCAGTTGGGATCTGCTAATTCGACGTGTGAAACCTTTTCCCAATGCTTGCTATTTATTATATATGATCATGTTTATTAGTTTGCGGTAAGACTATATATGCTTGAATTCTCCTATCCGCTTTGAAGGAAATTAGGGTAATGGGGCAGATTTTATTAGAGTTTTGAACTATTCTTCCGCCCATTCCTGTAATTTCAAAGTTGGTTTGTGTTGTTGGCAGTTGTAGCCTATTTTGTGCCCTAGACGTTATAAATGATCGCTGTGATCCTTGGTCTATTAAGGCCCTAAGTTTTAACAGTTCTCCTCGGTGTTCGATGGAGACGACTGCCGTTTGAGTTTTTAATGCCTTTAAACAGCATGGTGCTTTTTGGGATTGGCTGTTGCAACTAAACCCGTGGCTCTTTTCATATTTGCGCTGTTTGGTGGTGAACTATTTTTATAAAGCAAAATATTTATGAGAATAAACGCAATTAAATTTGCTTTCTCACACTTTAAGTGTATGCGCATGTGACAGGTAGTTTTTAGAAAGTCTATTTGCCTACACGAAATTATTTCGGTCGATAATATTAATTTTTTTGAATCTCTCGCAAGATTTGAGCTTATGCCCTCCTGTACATAGTTCGCCAGACGTATATTTATTCTGCTGCAGATGAGAACGATTGCGTTTTGAAGAAGTTTCTATTTAAATTGTTGTTGCTCTTGGCTTGGGGTCTGTGGAAGCTTCTATTGAGGTCGTGTTGCATACCTTTTGTTTTAGTTTTTTTTGTCTATCCTTTTTGAGATTTCCTACTTTGTAGTGAGAAATTCTTTAATTTGCTGCCACGCTGAACATTTTTTCGAGATGAGAGTGATTGCTCCCACAAAAGTAACGGTAATGCCGCAGTGCATGTGTTTACCAATATTGGATCCCAG